AATGGATGCTGAAAACCACGGATCAGAGAGGTGGGGCTGTGCATCCAAGAGCAGATCTCTTCATCTTTGTGCTCCTTCACTGCTTGTCTCTCCTCCTGCTGTCCAGTCTAGTCAATAAACCAGGCTGGGAGCTTGCAAACCTGRCAGAAGGTGTTTGAAACTGCTGGGGTTCATTCACAGTGAGCAGAACCAGCAGCTCAGCTCAGCTCAGGGTGCAGCATTTACAGGGACCCGCACCCCCCGGGGTCCTGGAAGGGACGATCCCTTTTTGTCCTTGCAGGACCTGGGGGTGAACAGCCTGGAGCAGCTCTGCATCAACTTTGCCAACGAGCACCTGCAGTGGTTCTTCAGCCAGACTGTGATTGCCCAGGAAGAGGTGAGAGGAATTCAGTGGAGCTCACAYGCCTTAAGGCAGCAAATGTTGAGGGATTTCAGCACATTATCTGAGAGATCCTCAGCTGGGGAGCATCCTCCAGCAGGGAACAGGAAGGTGAAGCTACATCCATGGAATCCCAGCCCCAAAGAGCTGCCTATTTAATATCTTTCACTAATTCTGCAGTAAATCAAGGGAAGGAGATTTTGTCAGCACCTTGATCCCTCTTCCAGCTTTTTATAGTGACTTGGTCARGGTCAAAGAGCCCAGACCTCAGAGGGTGCTTTTAAAGCCTGTTTGCCTTGTTTGTAGCATTTTATGTACCAGTTCTGTCCTGGGGATGGAAGTGCATTTTTCTTGTTGCCTTTTACAGCTCCCTTTATCTCTCAGCGTAGCAGCCTTCCACTCTTAAATCAGGAAAATCATCAGTGGCTTTAGAAGAACTTTCATGAGCTAAAACCAGACAATTCAGGGCAAGTTCCTAAAAGCAGTGAAACACCAATTCTTGATAAAAACCCCAGAATTCCCCAGTTAACTCCATCCATGTGTCCTTGTTTGCATGGCTGGGTTTGGCCCTTAACCTGCAGGAGGAATACAGCCAGGAGCAGTTAGCCTGGGTTCCCATTTCCAGGACAAACAKCGAGTCCTGCCTGGATTTCCTGACAGCCAGACCCCACGGCATCCTGTGCATCCTGGATGACCAGACATGCCTGACTCAGGTGAGGAGCTCTCAGCCTCTGCTGGGATCCCTTTCACAGGATGGGAATTTTTTTTTTTTTTTTTTGTTTTCCAGAATGGTTGCACAAGCATTCAACTTTTTCACCTTCGGTTCAACAGAGGCTTTCCAGCCTACTGGGCACACTGCAGGAAAATTGAGTGGGAAATGTGTTTGTCATCTCCTTCCCAGGCCACTGACCACACTTTCCTCCAGAAGTGTCATTACCACCACGGGGACAGCCCCTGGTACACCAAGCCCAAGCTGCCTCTGCCAGAGTTCACTGTGCAGCACTATGCTGGCCCTGTTACCTACCAGGTGAGCTGCACAAATGACCCAGCCTGGGGACAGCCTGTGGGTGTCCTGATGGACCATTYTGGTGATCAGAGCCCTCCCCTGGAGCCTGCATGTCCATCTTGAGCACCAGTTTATCAGAAAAGAGGAGATTCTTCTTAGGAGAGGCAGAAGGAAAATAGGTGTCACCCTCAGTGACACTGCAATCTCAGAGCCCTGGAAATCCAGGAAAGGTTCTGCTGCTGGGAAAAAAAAAAAAAAAAAAAAAAAAAAAAAAAAAAAAAAAAGAGGTCAAAGTCTGCTGGACGATGTGGAGGGGAAAGGGAGAAGTCATTGTCCCCTCTGCTCTGGTGGCAGCAGGAAGAGCCAGCTTCATTCTCCATGGCTTTCCCCTCTCCAGCTGCCTGTCCCCAGTCCAAGTGGGTGTGACAGGGGTGGTTTTGTCTGTCTGAGAGGTGTGAATGGTGCATTACATCAGACTTTGCCTCTGCAGGTCCACAAGTTCCTCAATAAGAACCGTGACCAGCTGCGGCCAGAGGTGCTGGAAATCTTCTCCCAGAGCCGCCTGAAGGTACTGCAGTGGGTCAGGAGGAAGATCTCTGGTGCAGAAACCTCATGAGCCTCTCATTGTCTTCATATGACAAGCAGAAATATCCTGATCAGGTGTCAGGAGAACCTGGAGAAATGGCGAGTTTTATTTGACTGAATTTACTTGGGAATTGAGCAAATTGTCTTCGCCCAAAATTGATGCATTTCATGTATAAACCACAAGGATGCAGCTGCATTCCTGACACTGCCAGGGGCAAGGGAGAATGGCTCTCTAGTTTCAGCTAGAACAGATTGTTCTTTCCATGAGTTTCAGGGAGTTCAGTGATTTCTTTCTTTTGGCAGGTGGTGTCTCACATTTTCCAGAGGGCTAAAGCTGCCYATGGCCAGCAAAGAGAGCTGGGGGCCAGGGGCAAAGGGCTCAGGCCTCAGGCCTCYACACTGGTGTCCAAATTCCAGCAGTCTTTGCAGGAACTCACTGCCAAGCTGAGAGGGTGAGAGATGCTGTTGGCACCCAGAAGGGTGTGRAGCCCTCCAGGGTCAGCACAGACAGGAGGGTGATCCGAGATTCTTCGTTCTCTTTTCCAGCAGCCATGCCTTCTTCATCCGATGCCTCACCCCGAACCCCAGGAAGGTAAGGCAGCACCCCAACCTCCTTATGGAGCCCATCAGTTCCTTCATTCTTCTGCAGCATCTCTCCTTTCACAGCTGGCATTTAAATGTCTTTGTTCCATCTGACAGCTTGAGACTTTTTCCCCCTTTCTTTCCTTATTTTTGACCCCTTTCCCCTTTTCTTTTCCCCCCTTCCCCATGTCCATGTGAGTTAATTCCATGCTGGAGGAGCAGAAACCAGCATCAGCTGGACACCAAAATGTTTCTTGGGCTTTGTGCTCCATGGGCAAGATCCAATCCAA